ATTTGCCTCAAAATTTACATAGAGCTTTCTTTAGGTCTACAATTAACAGTTATGATATTTTAAAGTCGGGCAAACAAAATGTCGTCCTTCGGGAAAATCATCAAGCGGTATTTTATAATAAAAAACTGAAAAAGTCCACACAACAATTATGGGGTGAACCTCGTTTTGTATTGTATAGTAGTATAGTACATGCGTGGATGCAGTGAGTTCTGCCCCCCCCCCTACGGGGGGGCTCCACTTCCGGAAGGTATAACCTAACCCAAACCTATTTTTGATTTAAAACTAAAATTTGGGTTTGGGTTAGGTTATATCTTCCGGAAGTGGAGCCCCCCCCCCATATGGGGGGCGGAACCCACTTCGTCCACGCATATATTTTACAACGCGAAGCGAGTTGAGATCGGCGCTAATAACAAGGTTTAGCAACTTCAGATTAAATGTATATGGCGTCAGAAAATTACATTCTAATATAATGTCTAAATGCACAGAATATGTCTTATCAAAAATGTCGAAAAATCAAGATATTCCTAAACGCGAATAGCGCTTCAAGCGACCACTTGATAATTTTCTTCAAGAATAACATATTGTTTGCCCGATTTTAAAATATCATAACTGTTAATTGTAAACCTAAAGAAAGCTACATATAAATTTTGAGGCAAATCGGAGGTGGCGACGTTAATATAGAAATTTACCAATGATATTAACAGGAAAGAAGAAAAAAGCAAGAATCAGGTAGCCATTATTGATTTTAATATTAAATTTTTTAATTTAACGAACTATGTTTTTTTGATTAATTATTAACATTTTAAATTTAAGTTTATATACATATATTTAACATATCTATCTGTGAAATCTATGCTATCTCATATCATTGCTTTTTACTGTAGAAAAAATCAATGTAATATATTCTTTTTTTACTAGTAAGAACTTTTGAGTAAGAATATCTTTCATTTTCTCATTACTCTTATATACTTTCGTGCAAAATTAATCACAATAATTACTGTATTGGGATATAGTTCCTCTCGTCTCTCCTCGTCCTCGGATCGTACCACGGTGGCTTCTGGCGCGATATGGCTGTCGTTTTCCGCCATCTCTTCGTCCTTTCTCGTTTCAGCGCGGCCACAAAGGCCCAACAGGCAATACACGACACACACACACACACACACACACACAAGTCTAGATTTCGTTCCCGCACACCAACCTATACGCGCTACGACTTTGACCGAGGTCTTTTCTGTGTCAGGTTTCGTTCAGACGTTGTGATACCACATTTTCACTATAGCTGTTCGTTGCTCTCGAAGAACATAATTTTACAATGGTTTGTTCCGAATTTGTTTCGAGTATCGTTCGTACAAAGAAATTCGTTAGGTCAGGAAAATATGGCGAAATGTCATGTGATTATCGGTGATCTTTCACGTAGGAGGAAATAGGAATATCCTGGACACACTCAAGTAAAAGGGCACGTGTCAAGGTCTCGTTGAGATTGATCGTTACGATCGCGTTCCACTATTAGAGAGAAACTATCGCATTGGGTTGAAGCACGGTAGTCTACCCTCTAATAGTTTATATCGCTTTTTCTTTCGTTCATTCAAGTAAATTTACAAAATATTTTATAAGGATAAGAATTAAATAATTGGAAAAAATAAAAAGAGAAATCAAAACTTTTATAAAAATAAATTTCTCTCAATGAATTAATTTATTTGATACAACACACAATTTTTTAATTAATAAATTAATTTATTTCAATTATAGTAACTGCGCTATAAATTTTTTTTGCTATTTTTATCACTTTTAACGAGATATAAAAAGCATAATTAAGAAAATATTTGATGGTTTCTTTGCAATAAATAATTTAGCGTGTAAGATAATAAAGAAAAAAAAATCATAAAGAAGACATTACAATTTTACTTAACAAATTATTTTACTATTCCATGAATTTTGAGAAAAAATATGGTTTTGTAATATTTTTATATTATAATATATTTTTCGTCATACTTACTTTTTTGTTATACGTCTATTTCATATATGAGAAAGATGATGCAAGTTTGATTCTTTACGTTTGTTTCTACGTATTATTTGTGTATATCTAATTTCAAAATAAACGATTTATATTCTGGCATTTAATTGAAGTTAGAAGCAAATGGCGAACAATGCGCACTCTGAAAGAACTCTATTAAATGAGGTAATAACACTCGAAATTCAGTTTAAGAAAGTTGTACAAAGAAATTTCTTTTTCAATAAAGATTAATGAAGGTTAATGCGAACTTTCTTTATCATTCGAACACCAAATACTTCTTCGCTGTTCTTTGCCTAATAATTGTCTTCGTATAAAAATTAAGCACTGATGGAAACAACATTTATATGTATTGTACAGATTGTACATTTTTAGACAACATTTATCTGGTGACTAAAATAAATAAAATTTCAGTAAATAAAATTTTGAATTTCTCAAAACAAATTGATTATATGCGATTATATTTAAATCGCTCAATTCTCGCGCGCGCATATCCACCCAGCGTACGCATTCAAGCATAAAATAAATTTATGATATTGTTTTAAATTTTAACAAATAGAATTAAATTGTTACTTTTACATAACAAAGAATTTGTTTATAGAAGAGTATTCAGAGATATATGTATGAGCATCTTTTCTCTTTCTTTATATTAGTTTAATTCAACAGATAAATATGCATTTTTAGAATTATTGTATATACAGATTAAATTTTTTACTAATTATGTATTTATAAATGCTTTGAAAGTGTTAATACTGTATATAATACAATATACAATATGTATACGTATGTCGCATTATACAGGATGTTCCAGATTAGGTCATTGAATGAAACTTCAAGGACTTATAGGAAATTGAATTTGAAACAAAAAAATTCCTATAAACATAGATCCGGAAACGCTTTGTTAAAAAATTATAGTTAATAAACTTTTTGTAAATAACTAGTTATGATAAAAATTTAATAAGAACATTTTTGTTTGCATTTAAGATGTTTGCACTACGAATGTAGTGTTTACACAAAGACCGTCGAAAGGTGGTTTTTTCGTTGTTTCGAGCTTATTTTCTTTTGAATGTCTTATCAGAATTAAATGAAATTGATGAAATTTAGTTTGTTATTTAATTACCATCAGATTTATTTCGCTACTTTTTTCAAATGAATGAAGAATTTTTAAATTATTTTTGAAAATCATCAAAAAACGTGATTTTTCGAAATTTATTAGCTATAACTTTTTAACGAAGCGTTTCCGGACCTATGTTTATAGTACTTTTACTAATTATAACTTTTTTGTTCCAAATTCAATTTTCTATAAGACCCTAAAGTTTCATTGATTTGACCTGGAAATCCTGTGTAGTTGATTAACATTTTCAAAGCATTTGTAAATACATAATTAGTTGAAGAATTTAACCTATACAAGAAAATAATTCTAAAATAATTCTAAAAATTTATACTAAAATTCCAAAATTTATTTTTCTACTGAATTGAACTCAATGCATAAAGTAATTACTATAATAATGATGCAAAAGACGTTTAATCAATTAGAATAAATAATCATCGAAACATTAACGATATGTTTTGCTGCGAATCGACAAAATTGAAGATCTTGATATGTGACATCGAATTTCGTATTCATGTTGAGAAAATCTATTGGCATTCAGTGGCACTCATGTTCGAAGATGTCTAATAATGATAATACAACCACACAAATTGAATAGTAAAGGGTTTCCAGAGAATTGACTGCATACTGTCGTTTAGATGAAGCTTCTAAACCTCTCTAGCTATCCCTTGCGACTTATCTCCATAATCTGTATATTGATAGCAGTTGAAGATACATGCTGCGGTTGATAATAATGTCAGATAACGATTGCAATATGTCACGATTGTGGTTAGCAATGAGAAATCATGAAGAATACAATAACGATTATAATATTATGCTTTGAATGACATTACGATCAATGTTAGGATGATTTTCTAATAACATTAAAATATTCATAAACATACACACACAAAATTAATATAATATACATATAACAAATTGAAATAAAAAATATTTGCAATAAGTATATTTCAATGAAAAAAAAAAAAAAATTTGTGGTATATTTTTTAAATGATAATAATAAAAGATTATGAAAATTTTTGGTAAAATTTAAAAAATGGCGAAATGTTAAATAAATAATTTAAAATAATTTAAAAACTCGTGAAGGAAAATTTAAAAATATAAATGTGAAATTATTCAGACTATTACAAGAACAGAATTAATTTGAACCCAGTCCAATATCCAAATTTAATATGTAAAAAATATGTTCTCTCTTATATAGTATATAAAATGAACAGTATTATACGTTGCAGTGAGTCTTTTAAATGATGTAAAGTTATAAATAATGAAAATAAATAATGGAAGTAATGGAACTATAAATAATGGAAAAGTGTTTTCCATTATGCGAAAGAAAAAGATTTTCTATTTCCATTTTTCCAACTTTTTAGTAGCCGACGCATTTTTTTTTCTCGTGTGTTCTGCACAAATTCTGCTTTCCTCTATATGATTTATACCATCGTAAGAAGCCAAAAGGAGAAAATTTGTACAGTTGGTTGAAAAGTCTGCAAAAATCATGTAGAATAATTTGGCGCCTAGTGTGGCACGCTTCGATAAGCTCTTCAGCAGATGTGGAATTGTAGCTTTTTATATATCTCCGTGCTAGCATTCTAATCCAGATATGTCTCGAAATATTTCAAGATATTAATGGCTGAATATTTGAATATAGCTATGATAATCATATATTATGTACAATTATATATTTGTCTTATTAATCATTTTCGAGATTTTCATTTTGATTATACATATAAATTCGCAGAGAAATAACTTCTTTATGAAGATATAAATGAATAACATATAAATAAAATAAAACAAATAAAAATAAAATATAAATAAATAACGTCTTTTATGAAGATGCATGCAACACAATTACGTTAATCGGAGTTTATAAATAAGAACAGACTTGAACAGAGTTACGTTAAATAAACTTTGTTCAATTAAATTTACACAATTGCGGACTCCCGGGTTGATAAAAATAAAATATTAGCTTTTTTAATAAAATATATGCCCCCGGTAAATATTAGTTTTTTTAATAAAATATATGCCCCGGTAATCAGTTTTAGCTAATTATTCTTGACATTATATTTTTTCAATTTTCTTTTACAATATTTTTATCATATAAACATAGATATATAAAGTATTTAATTAATATATTTAATTATAAATATAATATATAAATATTAATATATAATATTTAATTAATATATTTTGTGAAAATAATGACAAGATGACGTCTCACTATTTTAAATTTTTATTACTTATTTCATGTTTCTGCTTTCGTCTGTATTTATCTCTCCTTCTTGTTAAAATGTTAGTAGAGAATAAAATATATACTCTTTATAAACAATGCTACAGGAAATCTTCTTCAGCATCTTTTATTCACGTTATGAATGATTCAGTACGTTTTTATCATATATCTCACCGCACTCTTAATAAATACGATATTTGAAAGAAGCAAAAATATATGTAAAAAGAAAAATATATGTATGCTAGATATCATATTCAAAGAACCAATCAGGATGGCTTAGAAATCGATATCGATGGTAGCAATTACATAATCCCCATTAGTTTTAAATTGCACAAACGAAAGCGACGACAAAGGTTTTCATGTGTGTGAAAGAGCTTGTTATAATTCGTATTACATATTCGAATTCTGTAATTTTGCGCAGAAAGTAATGCGTAGCGTTAATTATTTGTTAGCGACAGTTGTCGAGTTCCGATAAGCGTGCGAATATCATTACATCTGAATTACATGTATATTACGCGTTACTACATGCGGCGTTTTCAACTACACTGTCGCTCGAAAGTTTTGAACTCGTTTAACCAACTTTTTTATTGTTGTTTATACTAGCGCGACGACAATATGGAAATATTTTTACGTAGTTATGGTAGAGTTCGTGTACGTGACTTCACTCGATAATGATTGCAGTTTTGAACAGTGGGCGATAACTTTTAGAAATAACTGTTTCAACTGATTACATTTATGTTAGTATTTACAGGTGAACTACTGAAACACTGAGTAAAAAGAAGATAATGATAATCTCTCGAGACAAAAATAAAAGGAAAGCATAATAATACAATTCTATCTCTAAACAACATTTTGTTAAATATTGAAGAAATCATTTGTCTAAATATATCAAGATTAATATATTATACAGTTATTACAATAATATGTAATATCACATTTTTATTATTATTGTTAAAATGTTATTTAATGCTTCTTTATTTATTGTTTTATTTTTGTAAGCGATTTATTTGATAAATTTGACATCTATTAATTGTGTAGTAAAATATCGCCACATGTAGAGGAGCTGAAATCGGCTTCTAAATTGCACCACCACAATTATAAACTTATCTATTATTAGATTTAATAGATTAATAGATTTTAATAGAGATTCTCCTAGATAAAGTTCTCATAGAGAGAGAATAGATCCTAAAAAATTCCATTTAATAAATTAATTATAATCCAGAATACATTTATATATCTCACTAATTTCGAATTATTTACTGTTGCCATATATAAATTTAAAAACACTGCGTTTTCAAAGTTATTCTTTTCACGTTTATCTAACAATAAGCAAATAGAAAACAGATAAGATTTACTATATCAACTATTTGTATGCAATAATGCGTACTCTCTCTCCCTCTCTCTCCCCCCCTCTCTCTCTCTCTTTTTTCAAGAAATATTTAATACTATTAATTTGTCAGTTAGCTAAAAAATATATGTGTAAGCTAAAAAGATAAAAATAATAGAAATTATATCACTATGTTGTTATTCAATTCGCCTTGATGCCATTTATATGATATACATTATAAGATTTCACTTTTCTCGCAATATTGAAAAAAATAGCATAAAAAGAAGAATAAACAAGAGAAAAAAATTGCCTCTTAAATCAAAAGTTTTTAAAAAATTACATTTTTTTCATAAAATATTTTTATAGTTTTACTGAGAGATGCATAAGGAAAAATGGCTTTGTGATTTGTG